AGGGGGAGTGGACTGACTATTCTTGGTGGGGAAATGGGTTGGGGGGCTATGTGGGAAGAGACTGGACAAAAATTGTGCACCTATGGATGAGGACAGTTGCGGGGGGTGGGAACCGGGTGGAGGGGAGCTATGGGGGTAAAAAAGAGAAACAACTGTAATAATCTGAACAATAAAGATTTAATTATTTAAAAAAAATTCTAGGAAAAAGGATATTCTTACCAAATGAGTTTGCTTTCTCCTCTCAGAAAATTGGAACCTATAATCCACTCACTTGTTTTTCTTGCCCAAACTTGCAGCTATCTGGACCGAATTTGATATTCAGTTGCACGAATTCTTTCATTTTAGGGGTCTAATGACATCTGCTTCTCTGCTCATTTTAACAGATTATTGTTCCCTTTTTATGGTCTGATTTTGTAGCTTTTAATTGCACCAGGGATGGGAAATCCATTTGGAAGCAGGTGGGATATAAACGAACATAAATCTATATGAAATTAAGATAGTTTGGGTCACAAAATGGGGACATTGAAATGCTGCTGTAGTGTTTTGTTGATAGCGTGCCTGGGTATGTGTGTGTATAATCTCTCAAATGAGGAAAATAAGAATACTGCTGTTTTACTGAAGAGAAAATAATATATACCCTAGTGGAAAGATTGTCTTAATCCCAAACAATGTACCTGATGAAATATGTAGAAGCACTTAGTGCTTTTAAGCAAATATATTATTCTGTGTCCCCAGGGAAAGTAAGTAATATGAATATGGAATGTTCACTTGTTTTTAATTTTTATTCTTGACCAATAGAAACTGAGGATGGATATACGTTTTTATGGCAAGTAATCACTTTACAGACTTAGAAGTGATGTCAGTGTGTTACTGGAGGAACCAATTAAATACCCAGTTTCTTCTCTTTTTTTTTTTTTTTTTACTTTCTTGATTTTTAGAGAGAGAGGAAGGGAGAGGGAGAGAAAGAAACATCGATGTGAGAGTGCAACATCCACCAGCTGACTCTCACTGGGGACTGAGCGTGCAACCCGGGCACATACCCTTGACTGGGAATCGAACTGGCAATCTCCCGGTGCGCAGGACGACACCCCAACCAACTGAGCCACACTGGGCAGGGCTACCCACAGTGTCTTATAAAA